CACAATGTCAGACAGATCACAGGTTCAATTAGACTCCGATGGTATTACTGATAACAGTAGTGGTGAGCAGGCTCCTGTCTCCCTACACACCATAGATAAAACCCGACCTATTGAATACTCACAGTCATCAACAAAGAAGTGAAAGCTTTTTCACCCAAAGTGCCAATTTCGGTGAGCCAATGGTGCTTTTGATCGGTTACCTAACATTCGAGTAGACGGTACCAATTTTACAACTAACGCGGCATCGTGTGCAGTTCCACGCCCACAATATGAAGAAAACAAACTGTAGAACCATTCTAGAGGTACACGGCGAACTGGAACTAAAACGCTCAAACTCAACCAATTCATATTCAGTAGGTGCAGATTTCCTGTTCAATTGAGTTAGGACCCCACTGAGAGATAGTGAAACAGAGTCGATTATTGCTTGATGACGTCTAGGATATACAATGATACAGATGAACGGTGCGATATCATCATCATCATCATCATCATCATCGTCATCATCATCGTCATCATCATCATCATCATCATCATCGTCATCGTTTAGCGAGATGCAGAAAAGCAAAATTCACTGAGCGTTGCCAAGCCCACAATGTACACAAATTAGGTGATAAAGCACAAGATGGAGAGGGATTGGACCCAAATGGAGAGAGGCGAAGAAAAAGAACCTCTATGGACAACAGAGAGAGTATACAATCTAAGTGTGCATACATATTTTTTCAAGCATTCGGACCCGATAAGAATTGACAAGAACGCTACTGCTGTCGGTTAATCGCCATATCCTTTAATGTCTTTAACCAGCCAGATGCAGTCTTTAAGACGGGAGACACCGATTCCACCTAATCGCTCTGTGCATTTCTTCATGCCTCGCTTCCATGTCATCCGTTGGCCTCCACGCGGTTTCTTCCAACCTGGAACCGCAACTGCGTGGTGTGGCAGACGATGGCTGGACATGCGCAATACGTGCCTTAACCAGCGAAGCCGACTAATCTGAATTCCATGGGACAACGAATTCTCCACCAAATCATTACCAAATACGCGACGCCTCACCTCAGAGTTGCTTACGAGCTAGCTCTATCCAACCCGCGCCAACCTACGTAAACATCTGCAGTCGAATACTTGAAGACGACGATTATCTTCCACGCGCAAATTTAGGATCTCGCAACCATAGAGCAGAACTGACCGCACTGGCGCAGTATACACAACCTCTCAGTTTCAATAAAACACCACGTCTGCACCAAAGATGTTTCAGTCCTGCATAAGCTGCTCGAGCCTTGGAAAAGCGGGCGGTTACTTCATTGATTATGATACCGTCATTTGTAACGCAGCTACCTAAGTAGGTGAAACATTCCACCACAGCTTCAGTACTGGGGTAGACGACACCCAGTCTTATAGCATCACTTTGCACTTTTAAGGTGCAAAGCGCACGTTGAACGGAGCAACGGAACTTGAAAGTCTGGCAAGACAGCTTTGCGTATCCTCCATACATTCGAAAATGTATGCGATATTATCAGCGTACTCTAATTCGCTCGGCTTTTCTTTAAGGTATTTAACTGACGATTTGTTTTCTTTTATTACACACCTGTGTATGATGAACAGTAGACGGGCAGACTCCATAGTCACGAAGACCTGTGATGGATTCTAAACCCCGAGGCTTGGAGTGGCGAACCACATAAGGCCCCGCTATGTATGTGTATGACAGTAAAACCTTCAGACAAGTTGCGTAATTTAAAGAAGAGTTAATGTCACCAGCATTTAGGATTCAGCATACCCCAAGAAAATTGCTGTTCTAGGACAACCAATTAGAATAAAGATAGTCGAACTCAGGTGATTGGTCAGAAACAACCGCCAAGCAGGGCAGTTGACACAAATCCAACCAACCAATCATTTTGGTATGTTTATTCACACGCCCTGTCCTTCCCCTATAAATCAACGTACTTTTTACACGATAAATGTATTCTTACAGACTTCCAGTTGTGTTCTATTTGACTACCCGAGTAGTCGGTATTCGGGCCGGAAAAGTTATCGGAAACGATCGTTCGGGAAGCCAGTATCGAGACTAATCAGTGCAGCATTTTTATCAGAACTAAAAAGGTGGTAGTCAAACCAAAACTGGAAAAAGGTGCAGTGCTGTGATTTCAGAAAAGTGGTGCTCGACGTCTCAGAAGTCCGATCAATCGAGGGTGTGGAATATAATAAAACACAGAAGCAAGAGCTAAGCCAATTATCTCCAAACATGACTAAACAATGCTCTTTACGAAGCTTCATTGTGCATGAACTTTAGCATGCAGATGCGTTGGTGTGTGTGCAAGATGAAGCCGCAATAACAAGACCATTTCTGTTGCTCGATCACAGTAAAAATGCACATGTACATAAAACAATACCACGTACTTTGGGATCCCATGATGGATCCACCTCGTGCAGTTTGGATACATATTCCGAGCGGGCCTGGTCTGCTGACATACTTTCCACATCCTTCCACGCTTGCCTAGAAGCGCGCGCGCGCGATGCAATGCAAGCAAGAGGGTGCAAACGAGAGAAAGACAGTGGTAATCACAAGCGGGAGGACGGGAGAGGGTAACCTTTCCGTACCACGGACCAGAGCCCTGTTCGAAATGAGGTTCTCTGAACAAAACAAACGATTTTCTCACACTAAACAGTTCCACATGAATTAATTGAATAATACTGATTTGAAATGGTCGTGAAACCGAAAATAACGCCAATTGAACTAAACTTCCGAGTTCTATGGAAAGGCCAGATTTAGAATACAATGGAGAAACACAATCAATCAATACGCTTAGTTTCATAACTACGGTATTCACTTGTTCTGTAGTTTAACATACTTCGATGTGTAAAAAGCTGTTTCTATTGCCCGTCCATGTGTGATGAAAAGCAGATGTACAGCCCATAACCACGAGGATCTACTGTTTGCACACGATAACTGATAACCTAGATCCTGAGTCTTGGAGGGGCGGACCACATCACGCAACAACAGTGGCATGATGTTGAGCCGGATGACAGCGCAGCTTCCTGCTTCTAAAACGGGGTAGCCACAGGTAGGACTTGAACCTCGGACCCGAAGCAGGCCAGAAATTATTATCAAATTATATGTCATACTCGACTGTGTGCCAAACCAATCATGGTACAATAATCTTTATAAGTAGAGAAATGTTCCATGATTGGTTTGTGGGTCGAATACTGCCAGGTTGCCCAGGCCAAGGCAGGTGAATTTTCTTGAGGAATCCACAATAGGAGCCTTCGGTTTGCTAAAGCCTGATCCACAAGGCAGCGTGGCGGTGTGAAAACTGCAGCCCATTGGGGGCCGGTATCCAGTTCATCCGATCATACGCCCGTTGAACGGGGTCAAACGTCCAAGATGCTCAATACACCTCAGTGCCCATTTGAGCCGGTGACCACTGCCACAACCGAAAAGGTGTGGGTGTGGTTCGTATGCCTCCTCTTGGTTTGTATGGAATCAGGGTTTTTGGTCAACTTACCTAGGTGGACTACCAGCGGTCCACCAACCCGGTTATAGCCCCGGATGTCGGCTATCCGTTCCCTCACTTTGGTGGCTAAACACCGCCACGAGAATGCAGTGATTAGGGCTTCCTCAGCAGAAGCTATTTGAGACGCTTGGTCGTATGGGAACATTTCGCGAGATGCAAGGAAAGGGTGACCAGCCGCAATCCTAGACACCCACCGCCAACTACATTGAGGATTTCGGAGACCAGAAACAGTAACCCTTTGATCACAGCTACCACCTGAGAGCCATTAACTGACTTACATCCCTAGAATTATAAACTCGCTCACCAGAGTCACATCAGATATCATTAGTTCAACATATGTACAAGGCACGCGTGTTAACAGACAGGGGTGATGGTCACAGGCTACCATCAAATTCAACGATGCGCACATAGAAAGGTTATTTGTCCCACTTATATCGTCTGAACTCTGCCGCACAGAAAATATGTAAATTGATGTTAACTCAGTTGCATATTTACTCTAATTACATGTGTTCATGCGATGCCAAAACAAAAGGACCGACTTCGCTAGCAGTCACAATACTTCCAGTTGAGTAAGCTAACGCTTATTTAAGAGGCAATCCGTTGCCTAGGGGCCAACTTGATCGGTTTCGCATCACATCAACGACTTCATTAGTTTGAGAAACAACAGCCATGCATACACAAGCACTTGTAACCAGGTCGGTAGAAGGGTTTAACCGGTTGGGATTTATAATGCTATGCAAGTCAAACTGGCTCCAACAGTTTCACTATAATCAGTGTGTTATGGGTCACTCTCTCTCTCGTTCTCACACGCACACACCTTCCTGGTTGTGGTCGGCAGCTTGATTGGGAATCGAGGTGTATTGTGTGCCCTGGACGCTCGACCCCCAACGGAGTACAAATTGTATAGGCCAGCCAGTTGCCTTATAGGTCAAATTTTGGTGAACCACAGGTTCCGTTTGTGAATTCTCGAATAAAATACACCTGCTTTGTCCTGGCAGTATTCCACTCATTAACAAATGAAGGATCGATTTTCCTTTTCACAAAGTTTATAAAAACATGTTTGTTTGGCACAGTCCGGACGGTAACTTTGCTTATCCTATCAGAGGACTGTGTCCGTGCAAACCAGTAAAGACAACAAACCGATTCGCATTACCCTTGTTAATTCATTCCAAAATGGAGATGAAGAGAAGAAGGTTGGAGTTGTCCGTTGCCCGTTTCGCAAAAGAGAAAAACTCGAAACGTGCAGAATACAAATGGAGATAGATGTGTTTTTACGTCAGCTTATGATGACTTACCATTTTTTACGACCATTAAAATCAAGAAAACCGGGTTTTGGCGTGTTACAAGGTCCAACTGTCGCCTGCAAATGAAAACCAATACGACAGTATTGAATGGAGAACGCGATTTAAGTGCACAGATTTGATTAACAAAGTGTGTGTTACCTGATATGTCAGATAGTTTTACCAAATAAGTACCAAGGCACGTTCACGAAGTAAGGTTGGGCAAGATGCAGGTAAGAGATAGTGAGAGACAGTAAGGAATGAACTCTATTTTGCCGGTTTACCGAGCTTGGCAATTTGTTTGCAAACCTTTCATCATCAGCCCAGATGACATCATCATCCGTGCTTGTGAAGTGGCAGTCTTCTAATTGTATCCGTTCGTTTATAACGAACGGATATGTAAGTTCTTCTCCACCGACCATTTTTGTTCCTTGTTCTCATTGCGTTCGACTCGATTAGCCGTTAAACTGGTGCGTGGGGGGGGAGGCTTGTAGGGGAGTGGTTGTTCCTCCGTCCTGATTGCAGTTTCGGTCCGTTCTCAGATCACGGTGTGATCATTTTTGTGTCATTTGATCCTAGAGTTGCATTGGTGTGTACACGTGATCCAGTTCGATGTGCCTGTGTATTGAGTTAATTGAGGAGTGCCAAGCTAGAAAAATTCTCTGGTGTGTTTTGACCGGGCTTGATCGATAACTTTCATTGAATCGAAGTTAAATTGATGTCCTTCTTGAGCTTGATGTAGGGAAGTCAAAGATAGTGGGTCAAGTCTCCTGACTGCCCATTGGTGTTCACGGATCCTTGTTGACAGTTTTCTCCCAGTTTGTCCGATATATTGTTTTGAGCAGTTCTTGCAGTTTATTTTGTAGATAACACTGCTCTTTTCCTTCTCCATTGTTTTCTCCTTTGGTTTTGACAGAAGTCTCCTTAGACAGGCGGTAGGTCTGTGGCTGACTTGGAGTGCATATGATCTGAGCAGTCTTGCCGTCATTTCCGAAACGTCCTTGATGTACGGCAGGGTAGTTCT